ATAGAATAGAATAGAATAGAATAGAATAGAATAGAATAGAATAGAATTCTTTGTTGGCTAAGTGTGATTGGACACACCAGGAATTTGTCTTGCTGCAAATGGTCTCAATGTACATAAAAGAAAAGATACATTCATCAAGAGTCAAGAATCATCAGGTACAACGCTTAATAATAGTCATAGGGTACAATAAGCAATCAAATCATAGAAAATAGAACAGAATGGAATGGAAAAGGGAATAGGATAGGACAGAATAGGAAATAGAATAGAATAGAAACAGGAACAGGAGATAAAATAGAATGGAATGGAATAGAGAATAGAATAAAATAGGGAATAGAATAGAAATAGAATATAAATATAAATGGAATAAAATAGAATTCTTTTATTGGCCAAGTGTGATTGCGCATACAAGGAATTTGTCTTGGTGCAAATACTCTCAGTGTACATAAAAGAAAAGATATATTCATCAAGAGTCAAGAATCGTATGGTTCAATATATTTTCTGGAATATATTCCTTCTTAGAAAGCAGGAATTCTCCCTTGTGAAGGAATGGAGGAATGCAAAAAGAGGAAGAAATAAACTTTTAAAATTTGTAAAGGAATATTTATTGCCATTTCCTGTGGTAAACTTGTGATGTAGTTATTTATTGTGCCAAGAGTATAAAGGTGCGTCTATGTGAGAACGTGGGCAGGTAGTCCTCAATTTAACAGCAGTTCATTTAGTGACCAAAAGTTAACAGCGGCTCTGAAAAAAAAGTGACTTATGGCTATTTTTCGCGCTCATGATCCCCAGGGTCACGGGATCAGAATTCAGACACTGGGCAAGTGACTCATATTTACGATGGCTGCCATGTCCTGGGGCCACACGATCCCCCTTTTGTACCTCCTGACCGGCAAAATCAACAGGGAAAGCCAGATTCACTTAACAGCCAGGGTTACTCACTGAACAATTGTAGTGATTCACTTAACAACTATGGAAGAAAGGTCGCAAGATAGGGGAAAAATTCACTTAACAACCATAGTGGCAGAAAATTTGGGCCACAAAACGGTGGACATAAGTCAAGGACTCCTTGGCTGAACTCAACTAGGAGGTCTGGGATTTTGTCAGCCTTGCAAAAACTGGGGAGCTGGACCTGCACCCCCCAAAATCCCACCTAGGAAACCCAATGAAAGAAAAACAGTCCAAGGGAAGAAAAGACCACTTTAAAAAGAAACGTTATGGGAGAGCGCCCTGACGACAGTCTTCCACGCTAGCAGCCCCGAGGGATCCCTTTTGCCCCCGCCCCCCTCTCCCCGACCGCACACGCAAAACTAGAGCGAGGACCGATTTCGGGATCTGAAACTGAACGGATCACGGACTCGGTGCAAATAATACGGGGCAGCGAGTCGCTCGCTTGGAGCAACTGGCGGGCGGGATCCACCAGGTGGCGCTGCCCAGCGACCAAGTGCTACGCTTCCCACCGCGAGGGATGGGCCCACCACTCGAGAGGCCTCTCTAGGCCCCTCTTTTTTCTCTTTAACCCTTCTATTGCCTGCAGAAGAATGCGCAGGCGCAAACCAGCTCTCCAATGGTGGAAGCGAGAGCCGTTGCGAAGCGGGCGGAGCTTAGAATCCCGGGCGGGGTGGGAGGAGCCTGGAAACGGGGCGCCGGAGGATCTCTATCCACCAGATACTGGTGGGTGGGAGGAGCCTGACTCTGGGGACGCTAAGGCTTCTTACGTCCCGAGAAGAATGCGCAGGCGCAAACGTACTCCCCAACCCTTAGCGGCGAGAGCGGAGCTGCGAGAGGAAAGGCGTTCTTCTCCAGGTGCGGTGGGTGGAGCTTTGGAATCCCTGGTCGAATGGGGAGGAGCCTTTGTAGCTGGGATTCTACTTTAACCCTTTAGATGGCCTGCAGAAGAGTGCGCAGGCGCGAACCGGCTCTCCAACGGTGGAAGCCAGAGCCGTTGCGAAGCGGGCGGAGCTTGGAATCCCGGGCGGGGTGGGTGGAGCCTGGAGCGGGGGGCGTCGGAGGATCCTTTGCAACCCATTGAGGGTTCCAGGTGAGTCGATTCTTCTCCAGATCCTCCTTCCCCTCCTCCTTCTTAAGGTTGGGGGTCTTTTAGATTTGGATCCTTTTATTCCCCCCCCCCCCATAAAAGGCTAGGGGGAAGGGAGGAGATCCAGGCAGAGCTCCGTCCGATTCAGCTCAGCGTCGCCTTTTCCCCCTTGCAAACCCCCCAGGAGGCGGGGACCTCTTGGCAGACGCCCCGGGGGGGCTTCCAAAGCCCTTTCCTCGCTGGCCTCCCTGGAAGGAGGAAGCGTCCAACGCCCCCCCCCATGAGCAATCTTGGGACTGCTCCCCCCTCTATCCCCCCTCCACCCCATGACCCCTTTTCCCACCCTGGGGAGGGGAGGGGTCCTGGCTGGCGAGTGGGGGGGGGGAGCCTGGCCTGCAGGAAGGAATACAACCCGCATCCCACCCCCAGAAGTGGCTGTCCATGGTTTTTCCTATCCAAAGTCTTCGTTTTGGGGTGCTGGGGGTGCTGGAGAAAAAGCCAGAGGTTATTTTGGGGTGGGGTTGCTGGAGGAAAAAGTTATCTTCTATATTATTATTATTATTATTATTATTATTATTATTATTATTATTATTATTCTTAGTATTACTATGATTATTATTATTATTATTACTACTACTACTACTACTACTACTACTACTGTTACTATTACTATTACTATTACTATTAATTGATATTATTTATTGATATTGATATTAATTATAATAAATTTTATTTTTATTATATTATTATATCGTATATTATATTTTTATATTATATTGTATTACATATTATATTTTATATATATGTGTGTGTGTGTGTATATGTATATGTATCTATAGCAATAGCACTTAAGGGCATGTGGAAAGAGCTTTGCTCAGAATGGTCATCTTCTCATAAAAGGATCTACCCTCAGCAGAAACCATACAGCAATAGCAATTCCACTTATATACCACTTCACATTGCTTTTACAGCCGGTCTCTAAGTGGTTTACAGAGTCGGCATATTGCCCCCAACAATCTGGGTCCTCATTTTACCCACCTCGGAAGGCTGAGTCAACCTTGAGCCTGGTGGGGTTTGAACTGCCAAACTCTAGGCAGCTGGCTGCGGAAGTAGCTTGCAGTTCTATATGTATAATTATATGTATATGTGTGTTTCTCTGTCCCTGATCCCATTGGGCAACATCCTACCCCACATCTTTGGGCATATGGACTCACCCCATGAAGGCATAACCAGGCCGGTCCAAATACAGAGGAGCTTGGTCTCGAGCAAAGCAACAAATTATGATAGCTAGCTGTTAACCTCGCCTCCTAGAGATAAACATTCCAGACTGGGTCAGGCACAGGAGGAAACGATGACAAGAGATAAGCTTCCTTTGACCAACATGATGGAGGTAAACACAGCAGAACTAATTATGGATGGGAGGCAGTTGAAAGGGCCTATCACACTTGCCAGGGCTAAATTGGTTAATGTTATATAAAGGCAAACATCTCTGTAATGGTAGCTTAATACGCTGACGATGTCAGCAGAGGCTGATGAAAGCTCAGTAAGTACATTAAATGTAATTTTAAGTTCTGGAGATTGCAGCATGTCTGTTTATACTTTTACATGCATACATACATAATTTTTAATTATTTTGTGTGTGTGTGTGTGTTCCAGTATAATTCTGGACCACCTTGAGCAATTTCCAACCACACTTGGTACATATGACTTTGGAAACAAATACTGGGGGTGTGGGGTAAGACACCCCTAACACCCCCTCGGGGGTGTGTGTGTTCTTGTGTTCTGTTAAAATACAGCCTGTTGTGCCTTAAAATGGCTTCTACCGTACTGCCTTAAAATGGCTTCTACTGCACAGTGCTGTGAAGTTGCCATGGTAATGGCTTCAGAGTACTCCACAAGGGGGCGGTCTTTCTCTCTCTCTCTCTCTGGTGACGGGAAAAATTCCAACATTAGAAATAACATTTGTTCTGGATTGTCGCCAAAATCAGGGCTTTTCCTGTCTAATAGAGGATTAGGATAAATAAATAGCTGGGCAACGCTGGGTTATCAGCTACTTTGTAAATAAACAGTTCTGTTCTGTGCAAGCTCTTTCTCCCCTCTTTCCCCTCCTTGGCCCTGAGCTGAGGCATCTCCAGATTGGAAGATCTGGGAATTATCTGCCCTTTGCAAAGTTACCCGGGTGTTGAAGTAAAGAAAGACTCTCCGGCACAATGGCTTTGTTTGCCATAAGAAATACAGGTAGTCCTGGAATTACAACCATTAGTTTAGTGACTGTTCGTAGTTACAATAGCCCTGACAAAAAGTGAATTGTGAACATTTTCCCCACTTACAACCATTGCAGCATCCCCACAGGAGGCACGGGAACTGCAAGTGGGAACGTTTGGTGATTTCGAAGAACTCCTGGTACAGGGTAGATTGGCGTTTTGTACATCTCAGTGAAAGAGTGAGTTTTGTTACACCTCCTTTCCTCTCCGGGTAATGCTAGAGATGCTTTCTCTCTCTCTCTCTCTCTCTCTCTCTCTTTTTCTCTTTCTCTCTCTCTCCCCCGCCCCCAAATAATCACTGGCTGTGGCTGGGTTTGGTAGCGAAGTGCTAAAGCGAGCAAAGTGCCCTCAGGGACACCTTTCCTTGCCTGTCTCCAGGTGAGGCTGGAAGAGCACCCCCCCCCGCTTTTCCTCAGCTGCAGATCTGAGCCCCTCAACCCCCCCCCCCCCCCGATCTGAAAGGAGCTCCCACTTTCTCCCTCTCCCCTTCCCCAATTAATCAATAAGGGCAGCAGTCCTTTGGCAGCATATGCCTGCTGAGAAGTCCCTGGAGTGGCGGCCAAGGAGTGCTGCCCCTCAAGGAGAGCAAAGCCCCCTTTTTGCCTCTGCTTCTCCCAGCGGCAGTTGCCCCGAGGTCCCTCAGCTCACACATACACACACACACACACACACACCCCACCCGCTCTTCTGTCTTTTTGGAAGGTGCCAGGTGGGGGAAGGCCTCCAGCCCAGAACGTTTTATTTTGTTATAATTAAGCATTTACATTTTTATTACAATTAAATAAGTGTGTGTGTGTGTGTGTGTGTGTGATGTATGTATGTATATATGTATATGTGTGTGTATATGTATTTTTTTGTGTGTGTGTGTGTGTGTATATATATATTTGTTTCCTGAGGTTTTCGTGGGTATTTGTATGTGGATCTTTGGTTATTCGGGTTTTCTCTTGCGTAAAATTGGAAGCATCTAGGCGACATTTCAATGAAATCTCATTCGTCATCTTCAGGCTTGTGTCTTCGGCTTTGAGCTTCTTGGAGTAATGTCAAGTCGCACTCCCACTGGCAGTTAAAAGAAAAAACAGCTGCAAGCTCACATTACTCCAAGAAACACAAAGCCAAAGACATATATATGTGGATCTTTGGTTATTCGGGTTTTCTCCCGCATAAAATTGGAAGTATCTAGGCGACGTTTCGATGAAATCTCATTCATCATCTTCAGGCTTGTGTCTTCGGCTTTGTGCTTCTTGGAGTAAGCTCACATTACTCCGAGAAGCACAAAGCCAAAGACACAAGCCTGAAGATGATGAATGAGACTTCATCGAAACGTCGCCTAGATACTTCCAATTTTACGTGGGAGAAAACCCGAATAACCAAAGATCCACATATATATGTCTTCGGCTTTGTGCTTCTTGGAGTAATGTGAGCTTGCAGCTGTTTTTTCTTTTAACTGCCAGTGGGAGTGCGACTTGACTTGACATTACTCGAAGAAGCACAAAGCCGAAGGCACAAGCCTGAAGATGACAAATGAGATTTCGTCGAAACGTCGCCAAAATACTTCCAATTTTACGTGGGAGAAAACCCAAATAACCAAAGATCTACATACAAATACCCGCAAAAACCTCAGAAAATAAATATATATATATAAAATTTATAATTACCATAAAAAATTATATTAAATATATTAGCTTTTTTAAAAAATTGTATTAGTGGTCCTCGGGATTTAAAAGTATGAGTTTGGTGGTCCCTGAGATCCAAAAGATTGGCGACCCCTGTTTTAGGACAAGGACAACCTACAGAGGCAGCTCTCTTTTTTTTCTCACTTTTTCTTTCCTTGTGTTCCTTTCCCTTAGCTTGAAAACTGGAAACATTTTTATTTTTGTCTGGAAGGATTCTTATTGTTGGAGGCTCAAAGTCCCACATCTCCCGAAATGGCTCATGATGCCTCTTCTTGCCATTCTGCTCCTTTGACCGAAAGTCCTTTTGCAAATGCAGGACAGACTTTGGACGGGTGTGAACCAGCCTCTCGGTACACCCCAAAAACTGCCTCACGAGACCCAGAAGGAAATGGATCCCGTGTTGCCTTGCCTGCGTCTACTGAGAGGTTCTGGAGAAGAACGAGGAAGGACAACATCCTGGAAGGAAGAACCGTCAGATGGGCTGGAAGACATCAACTTTGCCAGGAGTACTACGAAGAAACTGAGGCACCCCGAGAACTTTGCAGTCGGTTATACCGTCTTTATCGTCAATGGCTGAAGCCAGAGAAACACACGAAAATTCAGATGTTGGACTTGGTGGTCCTGGAGCAGTTCCTGGCCATCCTGCCCCCAGAGATGGAGAGGTGGGTGCGGGAGTGTGGAGCAGAGACCAGTTCCCAGGCGGTGGCCCTCGCAGAAGGCTTCCTCCTGAGCCAGGCGGAGGAGAAGAAGCTGGCAGAAATGCAGGTGAGACAAAAAAAATCATTGTGTAGCTAATCCTTGACTTAGCAGCTTAGTGACCATCCAAAGTTACAACAGCATTGAAAAAAATGACTTACGACCATTATAAAGGTTGACTCAGCCTTCCGTCCTTCTGAGACCGGTCAAATGAGGACCCATATTGTTGAGGGGCAAGATGCTGACTCTGTAAACCACTTAGAGAGGGCTGTAAAAGCCCTGGGAAGAGGTATATATTGTATTTTTTTGCACGATAAGATGCTCCGGAACGTAAGACGTAAGACCTAGATTTTGGGGAGGAAGTCAAGAAAAACAAATTCAGCCACTGATCAGCTGTTCTAGGCAGCAGGGATTGTCTCCACCGTTCGCTCCTGCCTGGAACAGCTGATTGGTGGTATTCCGGGAGGCTGATCCAACTGCCAGTCAGCTGGTTGGCAGCAAAGGCTCCAAGGTCCCTGACGGGGTTGAGAAGTATCGATGGAGAATGCAGCTGTTGTACCAAACCTTCCCCTTCTCTCTCCCCCACCCCGTCAATATTAGCTCCGTAAGACGCATGGGCATTTCCACCCAGTTTTTTGGAGGGGGAAGTGTTTTGTTTTTTTTTAAAAGAATTTCTTATTTTGACAACAAACATAAACAAACACAAACACAAAACATCAAATAAAACCATCTTTCCATTGCACAGTGTGTGTCAGTTGCTACATATCTCTTGTGCACAATATTAACAATCTTTCTCTCCTAACCTTAAATTAAAATTCATATTATGTACATTTATATTTTATAATATTATTTTTTTTCTTGCTCCCTTAATTGTCAATGTCAGTCTACTCGTTTCTGCACATTCCATTATTATTATTTTTATCACCTCTTCTATCGAGGTTTTTTTCCACTTTTCCAATTTTGAGCAAATACAATTCTAGCTGCTGTTAAAATATTAATAATCAAATATGACAATTCTCTATTGTATCCTTCTGGCAAGATACCCAATAAAAAGATCTCTGGCTTCAAGTCTATATGCTGAAGTGTGTCTTAGAGAGCAAAAAATATGGTAAGTCTGAGCTCTCTTGCAGGAGTGTCAAACTCAATTTCATTGAGGGCCGCCTCAGGGCTATGGTTGACCTTGCGGGTGGGGAAGGGGGTGACTGGGTGGATGTGGCCAACTGGGTAGGCAGGGATAGCTTGATGCCACTCACAGAGTGTGGCTGACTGGGTGGGTGTGGCCAGCTTGACCCCACTTCCCCAAGCTGCTGGCATGTTTCCTCGTCCCGTTGGGAAGGCTGGTCTGAAGTGATGCAGGCCGGCCCCTTATATTTTCCAGGCCGGCCCTGCGAGCTGGATCCGACCACATCGCACAGATTGGGAGCTTCCTAGCCTCAAAGGAGCCTCGGGGAGGGGGGAGGAGGCATTTTTGCTCCCCTAAAGCTCTTCTGGGGCTCAGGAAGGAAAAAAATAGAGCATGGGAAGGGTGCGCAGCACCCCTCCAAACTCCATTTTGAGAGCTTCCTAGCCTCAAAGAAGCCTCTGGGGAGGGGTTTTTGCTCCCCTAAGCCTCCTCTGGGGCTCTGGAAGGCAAAAAATGGAGAGGGGGCTGAGCTCCTCCCTCCATTTTTTGCTTTCCTGGGCCTCAGCAAGGGGAATCCCGGCACAGCTGATCTATACACAGCTGATTGTCGGGAGGTGGGGGGAAATACCTTAGGCCAGGGGTCCCCAACCACCGAGCTGCGGACCAGTACTGGTCCGTGGAACATTTCCTACCGGGCCACCGGTTTGCTGGGCGCCGCCATCTTGTTTGACAAGAAAGTGCTTCCGGGTGAGCTTTTCCGGTTGGAAAGCGGCATTTGGGTCCTGAAGGAATCCTCGCGCCTTAGTTTCATTGAAGGGGGGGGCTTTGAACGAAACTAAGGCGCGAGGATTCTTTCAGCACCCAAGGCAAGGCGAGCCGAGTGACCGTCCCGAAGCCGTCCCGAAGCGAAGCCCATCGAAAAAGGTACAAAGGAGGAGTTGAAGGTGGCGGGGAGAAGTGGGGGACGGCTGGCTGGCCGGTCGCTCGGCTTGCCTTGCCATGCGTGCTGATGCTGGTACCAGGCCACGGATCATTTTGTGATGCCGGTACCGGGCCGTGGCTCAAAAAAGGTTGGGGGTCACTGCCTTAGGCGAATGTCAAGCGGCGGGTAAGTGAGCATTGTGCGGGAGGGCAACCAGATCATGAGCATGACCAGCCAGAACTTACTACCGGTTCGACGACCCGCACCAAATTCTTGCTACCAGTTCGCCTGATCCGGTGCGAACCGGTTGAATACCACCACTAGAGTGGGGGAAAACAAGGCATTCCTGAAATGCCTAGATAATCACTTTGGCAGCCCAAAGTTGTTGGAGCATAAGAAGGTTCTTGGAGAGCATGATGGATGACTCTTGGAGACAGATGTGTCCCATTGGAGAAGTCACATCCAGGGGGTGGGGGAAAGACCAGGATCAAGGGGGAAATGTATGATGTAATTCAGTATTGACTGCACCCAGCCACGCGCCAACATGGCCACTCCTAATAAACTAATTTATTTTTCTCTGAGATGCGGATAGAGAATTTTGGTTTGAATGAGGGTGGATTTGTTGGAGCCCTGACAGTAACTCTGGGAACCAATAAGTTTTTTCTTAAAATTACTAAAAATCCTTCCATCGTTGAGTTTATTCTAAGTGGCCCTTCCGACTGATTTCCCAGGGTAGAAATCCTTGACTTACAACCTTTCCTTTAGTGATCGTTCATAGCTATAACAGCATGATGGGGAAAAGTGACTCGATCATTTTTCACACGACCATTGTAGCATTGCCAGGTCAGGTGATCAAAATTGAGATGCTAGGCCACTGGCTCCTATTTATGACAGTTATGGTGTCCCAGGATGCTGTCATCTCCTTTTGCGAACTTCCGACAAGACAAGTTCAGTGGGGAAGCCAGATTCATTTAACACAGATCACTAAGTTAACAACTGCAATGATTCACTTAACAACTGGCGGGAAACATCGTGAAATGGAGCAAAACTCACTTAGCGGACGTCTCAATTAGCCATGGGAATTTTGAGCTCAATCGTCATCGTAAGTCAAGGACAACTACTTGATACCACTTTAAAATGCCTTGGAAAAGCCACACTTGGTATACGGCATCCAGTTTTGATCGCTGTGAGTTAGAAAGAGTGCCAAGAAGAGCAACAAAGACGATTAGGGGACGGGAGGTTGAAACATATGGAAAACGCTTGCAGGAACTGGGTATGTCTTGTCTAGTGAAGAGAAGGAATTAGGGGAGACATGGTAGTAGTGTTCCAGTATCTCAGGAGCTGCCCCAAAGAAGAGGGAGTCAGGCTATTCTCCAAAGCACCCGAGGGTAGGACAAGAAGCAATGCATGGAAACTAATCAAGGAGAGAAGCAACTTAGAACTAAGGAGAAATTTCCTGACAATGAAAACAATTAACCAGGGGAAAAACTTGCCTCTGGAATTTGTGAATGCTCCAACACTGGAAGTTTCTTTTTTTAAACGATGTTATTAATTTTTAAAGACAAACAAAACAAACATAAAAACATCCAGCTTTCTTTCATAAATATACAAACAGTGTATCGGTTGGTTTACCAGTTTTTGTGCATCCATTTCGTAGTCTCAATTACAGTTACATTACATAATAACTCATATTATCAATCAGAAATTATATACTCTAGTATCACTATTAAACAATCATTTCACTATGATTTTATTCATTCATACTTTGCGAGATAACTATAATTTACTTAGTTTATTTTATAACAAATCATATAATCATACCAAATCTATCCTGAAGACATTTTATAAAATGATATCAAGAAAAAAAAATCTCTTTATATATTCATTATTATCAAAAATTCTAAATATTCTATTATTGTATTTTATCATCCAACCATTGATAAAAAAGGTCCCAAATTTTATAGAATTGTTTATCCTCTTGTTCTCTCGTTTCAAATGTCAATCTACTCATTTCAGCACATTCTTCCAACACTTTAAGGAGAGGTTTTACAACCTTTTGTCTGAAATGGTGTAGGGTTTCCTGCCTGAGCAGGGGTTGGACTAGAAGACCTCTAAGGTCCCTTCCAATGTTGTTCTATTCTACCTGTATGTGAGAAGCCCTCTCTTTTTAGAGAGAACCTGGTTGCAGTGGACCTTAAAATCCTGTTCCTTCTTTTTCCCTTTGGGCAGGTTCAGGATCCCTTCATGGAAGTGGGTGCAAAAAAGCCCCGAGCACACACAGACCTGTCACCTCTCTCTCGGGAACTGGCCTTTGGAGGGATCTCCCAAGAGGATCCAGCTCAGATCACATCCGAAGGT